CTTGTTGTGTTTTACATAATTTAGCAAGCGCAGGCGAAATAGAATTAGAATTGGAACCTCTGCATGAAGATTATCCTGATCCAGAAACCGAGATTATTAAAAATAATAATAATGAAATTGTTACGTCCAGTCCGAGGTAAATATTTTTTTTAAAAATGGATGGGGCTTGGAAGGACGCTCCAAATACCCTCTCGCAGGTGGGCGCGCTGAGGCGTCTCTACGAGTCGGACATACTGTGCAGAGCCACGAGTGCGAGTCAACGTCTTGAAAAAGACGCTATGACTTCGACTGCGTGATGTGCGTCCGTCGGTCCGTAATTTAGGCAAGAGAATTTAATCTCTTTTGCCAGGGACAGGACCATGCGCGAATCTTGGGATAACGAGGAATGAAAGAGGGAGCAAATAACTAAACGATAAATAATTTAAATTTTACATGTAATTAATAATTTTAAAACGATTACAAGGTTAGGTAGCTACAAGATCGTGTCATTATTTCTTGCGTTGAAATACATTTACTGGCGATATATTTACATTTGAAAAAAAAAATAATAAAACAAGAGTGTTACGTACAAAAATTCATGTAATATAAAAGTTCTAAAAATTGATGATGGATGTATTGTTTGGTTTCTGTGTACAAATTCTATTAGTTTAGTATTTTTAATCTGTTATTAATCTATTTAAATTTGTATTTTGTTATCTGTGTATGGTTGTTTCGGAGAGGAGGTCGGGTTTTCGATAGTGAGGTCTAGGGGAGGAGGGGAAGGAGTTCGGAGTTCGCAGAACTTCCAAGGATTTCTGGGTGCGGAAATCTGGATATATCTGGAGGTGATGGCGCTCTGGGAAGAGTACGCTGAAATCTGGGGGTGATCCAGGTTCAGATGGTTTGATCGGGGAATAGGACGGAGGAGATATGTATAAATAATGGGGTCTCCTGCTGGAACAACTCGTGGTTTCTTCATGTGTCAAAACCTCGGATGTCCTAGTTCCCTGATTGACGAGCTCGATTGTTGCGACGGTAACGGAGCCTCTTCAGGGCTCGCCTCCGTCTTTGAGCGTCGGAAAGAGTGGATGATGCAGCTTTCACTAGAAGAAATGGATTTGGAATATGAAGGAAATGTCATTAGTCATGAACCTTAAGGCTATCTCTGAAATATTTCAGGAAACCGAGAGATCCGACAGAGGAGAGAAATTAAAAAGGGAAAGAGAAAATTGTAAGAGAGGAGAGAAAAAGGAAAAGAATAGATTTCCCGAATTACTCGGCAGCCATGAACCTGCTGAGTGCTCCGCAACGCATAGGGAGCCTGAGAGGTTCGATGGCTGAAGCCAACAGAGCAGAAGCAGATTTTGCCGATGTCGCGAGCGCCGAGAACGCAATCACGCTCACCGCTGACAAAGCGGATTGCGGCAAGCGATACTTTATCCGACGAATTATTATTTTACCAAGCGATAGCGATTATCAACGCTATCGTGCTAATCGCGCAAATATTGTGTAATCGTTCCACGTGAAGCAACTGTTAACCGGGTTGCGCGGCCCTTACGCGGAAAACCGCCGCGCGACCCAGAAATATACCGCGAACGCTGACGAACATGTTGATGACATGGCAAAGACCGGCCGCCTGGAACAGGATAAAAATGGAAGACCGATATGAGAAGAGGACTCGTCGAGATCCGCGTGCCGTCACGTCTGTCGCGGTCCGAATTAAAAAGGACAAACTGTATCAAGTGTTAATAAAATTTATTGAAATTAAAACGAAGTGGTGAGTGCTTCCTCCCCGCCGACTCTTTGACTGATCCACCGAAACGACCCGCACAACACCGAATTATTCGGCGGCCATGAACCTGCTGAGTGCTCCGCAACGCATAGGGAGCCCGACAGGTCCGACGGCAAGCAAAGAAAAAAGAGAAAAGAAAAAGAAAAAGGGAGTAGAAGTGTAAGGAGAACGGCAAAGGATAGAAAGGATGTAAGGGAGGAATAAGAAAGTATAAGGAGAAGAGACCCGAAAACTATTATTAGAGAATTTTTCTATGTGTAATTAAACTTATTTTTACTCTGGAGACTTGGGACCTGCGAGATGATGAAGGCGGTAACGGTGTCGCCAGGAAACTTGGTCACTTGTATTTGTTGATTATTTTCGACTGACACCGACTGAATTATTGACAACTGATAAACTGAAAATGTTCTGACCGTGTGAAAAAAGGACGTAGCAGTGAGTGCTCCGTGCCTTTAAGGGCACTATATATATATGATTTCGTTGAGGAAAACATCTGTACACGTGTTGTTTTTCCATGATTAGGATAATAGGGATTATCCGCTTAGTCAAATTCTTAGTAACCGACTTCCGGAAGAGATCAGTTGTGTAACCGTCGCGATCTAACAGAGTAACAGAACATGTGTCACTCGTTTATCCGTTTAATTAAATTCTAATAACAGATACCCGAAAGAGAAGAATCGTGCAGTCGTCACGACGTAACAAAATTATCCCTAGGAATGAATGTGGCCGCATTTTACGAGATAAGTTATGTCGTTAATTAATTGCTCGAGATATATAAATATATTTTATATGTCAAACAGAGAAATTATAATAAAAATACTTTTATTTTATTACTATATTTTTTATCATTATTTTATTTTATTACTATAATTTTATATTTACTATAGTATTATATATTTACTTATATCAACATGTAATATCAACATGTAATATCTTTGAAATAAAACTATTTTATTATTTTTCATAAATTTATTTTATATTATATATAAAAAATATGTTTTATACATATTTATTACAAAAATATTGAAAGTCATAACATAATTGATTAGTGTAATATTATAAACTTTTTCTTATGAAGAATAAATCTCTCTTCAAAAAAGCTTTTTAATTGGAAATATTGCTTTATTTTTATTTAAACTTAATAGGAACTTAATAGGAATGATAGCACCTGATAGCTTGCCCCATATATATATATATATATATATGTATATTAGTTCTAATAATACAAACAACTTTTGATAATACAAACTACTTTTGATAATACAAACACTTTTTTTAATAACAAACATAAACTTTCTAAACAAAAAAATATTAAAATATTTATATAATACTATCAAGAATAAAAAAACTTAATATTTAAAAACTTCAAAATATTATAAGTATTTTTCAGAGATTAAAGTTAATAAAAATCAACATAACTAAACATGTTCTTTTAACATTACATATATTAACTCAGATTTTACACTTAGACTAAAACTAAATGAAATATGACAAGCAACAAGATATTTAATAAAATATAGAAATAAAACAAAAAAATATTAAAAATATAGAAATACAGAAATAAGCAATCTCCATATTTTTTGTGTTAATGGATAAATATATTGTTGCGGCCGTGCGGTATTCCGTTCGGCGCTGCTAAGAAATAATCAATATCAATCGATAAGAGTTTGAATAGAGGATCGGCCCTTGGCAACGCGTCGTTCTCCGACTGTTTTTTAGATTTGACGGCCGGATTCTGCGGTGGCCGGACGCGTTTCTGTACCGTTGGTTTAATAAAGAGCGAGTCTTTCCTAAAACAGTGTTCTTCCTTTCCGAGAGCGCTCCGCCGAGTATCGCGATCACGGGAAGTAACGCCGCGAACGCGACAATTTTGGGGGCTCGTCCGGGATAGAATTTTTCGATTTGTGTGTGTGTGAGAGAGAGAGAGATAATGGCGGAGCGACAAACAGAAGAGACGGGGACTGGACAGGAAGAGGCGAAAAGTCGGAGAGTAATCTCTGCGAGAAAAAGGGCCTGTACTCGAGCGGAAGGGCCGGAGGCGTCTCCGAACTTGGAGGAGATTCTTCGCTTAACGCTGGAGGAGCTTCGCTCTCTGAGGGAGGAGCCTGAGTCGAGAGACAGAAACATTTTCAATGCCCGGTCCGCAGGAAGAGATTTCGCAACGTCCGATATCAGGCCAGTCATTTCCTTTTTCAAATTTTTAATTCCGACTTGAAACTTAAGCCCGATATTTATGACGGTAGTGTTCCGTTGCGCGAATATCTTACGCAGTTTAATTTAATTGCGCGGGCGAATAATTTGGGAAACGCGGAAAAGGCTGTCGTATTAGCGTCATGTCTCCGAGGAAAAGCGCGTGCGATTTTGGAAGGGGGCAC